AGATCCTGGTAATTCTCCTGCCTGAAACTTGAGAAAGCCATTATCAGCTAGTATCAATAATGCTGGGTTAGCTGGACTTGTAGTTTGACATGGTATGGGATTGCTTCCAAGAGGCAGTAGAAAGAGTCGGTATGGCCAGGAAACTGAGGTTCCTTTTATTTGTGAAAAAGTAAAATACTTTACACATCTCAGAATGTATAATTCTATTTTATTTATCTGTATAGAAGTATCATATGTATACAGATCAGCTATCTACACTCCTTGTTTGCTTCCTTGAGAATTCAGAGGTACATCCTTGCCGTAAAGTGAAATTAGAGCATAATCCACATCAGTTTTCTTGCACTTACATTGTGGATAATATTTGAGTAAGCTCCTATTTACAAACATCAGAATGAGCTTTAAAAATTGTATTGTTTATTGTTCAGTTCAAGTTTGGCCTCCAAGCTTTAGCAAGACAATTCTGTGCACTTACTTACTTAGGCGATCCCTCGCTTTCCGACAAAGATGATTGTCTTCCAGTATTCTTGTGGGTCCGTATGTGGCTGTGGAGCCCTATTCTTGCTCTGCATCTTCTTCCGCAGTGAGGGCATTGGTTTCCAGGTGGAAGGCGGTCTCGGTCGGGGTTGGCTTGACACGCCTTCCTCTTGGCACGCTTCTCCCTTTTGCCCTCCATTCGTGCCTCCTCAAATTTTGCAGCACTGCTGGTCACAGCTGACCTCCAGCTGGAGCGGTCAAGGGCCAGGGCTTCTCAGTTCTCAGTGTCTATGCCAGAGTTTTTAAGGTTGGCTTTGAGCCCATCTTTAAATATCTTTTCCTGCCCACCAACATTCCGTTTTCCGTTCTTGAGTTTGGAGTAGAGCAACTGCTTTGGGAGACGGTGGTCGGGCATCCGGACAACGTGGCCGGTCCAGCGGAATTGGTGGCGGAGGACCATCACTTCAATGCTGGTGGTCTTTGCTTCTTCCAACACGCTGACGTTTGTCCGCTTGTCTTCCCAAGAGATTTGCAGGATTTCTGTGCACGCTTACATTGTGTTTCATGGGCCTTACACTCAGAAGCCTGCATAAGATTGGAACGGTTGAGGAATTGAACAAGAAGACATAGTTTTTATAATTGTTATCGCTTTTATGATTTTAAAATGTATTGTGATGTGATTTTTTGCTTTTAACTGATGTATGTATTTTTATATATGGCAGCTAATTGTTGCCGATTTGTACACCGCCCTGAGTTGCCTTCGGGCTGATATGGGCGGGATAGAAGTGACTCAAATAAATAAATAAATAAATAAATAAATAAGATTTCAGCCTTAATTTGCAGAAGCCTTCAGTTATAAGCTGTTCTCATCTCTCCCTCCCGCTACATTTTCTTCCTCATCATGCAAACAGAAAACATGTCTATTCTGGAAAAGTCTTAACAAGGACATCCCTTTTGTTCAAAATAATTTAAAAATTTCTCTGTTCTGTAAATACTATTGTTCCTATTTGTCTGCCAAAAGACTATCCTAGTACATGAGTATAGTACCTTACAATGCATCTACACTGTATAATTAATGCAGTTAAAGTGGTGTCAAACTGTAATAATTCCCCCCCACCCTTGTACGTAGGTTTGTTTATTTTCCCATCTCTCCATGAGTTCTCCCTATAATCAGTTTTACCCCTTTATCTCACCCGGAGTTTTAAAATCATTTTATGTACATGTGGCCCGCTCTCTGTCATTATGTTTGGTTTCTATGTTCTGTGTATATTGTTTATATGCTTTGATGTTTTTAGACTTTAATGTTATGTTGTTTATTTTATTGTAATTTTGTATTTTTTTTCTTTGTATTGTAATTTGTTGTTCAGGCTTGGCCCCATGTAAGCCGCTCCGAGTCCCCGTTGGGGGAGATGTGGCGGGGTATAAATAAAGATTATTATTATTATTATTCTACCATGTAGATCAGGCCCTCCAGATGTTTTGTACTTCAACTCCCACAATTCCTAGCAGCCACACCCTGGGTCATATATAATTCAGGCATTTTAGCTTGAGGCTAAGCATATAATCATAGGCACTAGGCTCCTTAATTCAGGTCATCAAAGTATTCAGGTTTTTCTGCCTGGGCCAGTGTTTTGCCTCTGACTTTGGTGGACTTCAGAGTCCCATTAAAATGTAAATTAGAAGTTATGTGCCTTATCTACTTTTATCAACATGTATGTGCACTTTCAGCCCCTCCCCGGGTGGCATAGTGGGTGAAACTGCTGAACTGCTGAACTTGCTGACCAAAAGCTCGGCAGTTCAAATGCAGTTTGAACTCCCACTATTAGGCCCAGCTTCTGCCAACTTAGCAGTTCGAAAGCATGCAAATGTAAGTAGATCAATAGGAACCGCTCCGGCAGGAAGGTAATGCAGTCATGCCAGCTCATAACCTTGGAGGCGTCTTCAGACAACGCCAGCTCTTCGGCTTAGAAATGGAGATAACTAGACTTAATGTCAGGGGGAAACCTTTACCCTTTACGGTAGAAATCTCATAATTTAAAAGTCCAAAAGCATCACGATTCAAGATGGGTGTTTGAGCAAGAATATGCAATAGCTCAAAAAGAGAAATTGTTATGTTTGCATAAAGTATTCAGCAGTTAACTCCATGTTCAAAATAATTTCTCCAAATTAGGCCATTTTGATTAGCAGCAATGCAGAAGATGTTATTTTATCTTCTTTACAATAAGAGGAAGAAAAATGAAGAAGAAACTAAAACGTTTGCTTAAAAGAATATAGGTATGACTAAGGTGACTTGCTTTCTGTTCAAAGACTCTTCACTTTAACCAACAAACATTGTAAGGTAATATTTTGAACATAAAGACCTTTAAACAGAAGCAAAATGTGGATCTGATAAGGAATCTACAACACACAAAATCCATTGTGTTATCTGATGAAAAGAGGCTGCTGCTCCTGTACATAACACTAGCTTCCAGCTTTGTGGATTGCTGAACTGAGATGACATAAGTAACCTCAAATGACCTCTGCTTCAGTTTTTCCATTTACAAACAGATAACAATAGACTGACAATTCCAAGGTTCTTCAAGAGAATCAGTACTCACAATATAACATACAATTGGCTTGTGAACACCTTGTTCATACTATTGAACTAAATGATCAATGAGATTTGAATATTATGAATTTGTAATTGCTCATGCTATTTTTGCCTCAAAGAACTGAATGGGCCTTATGTTGATGCCTGTTGCAAAACTGCAGAAAATTATTTAAGTGGGGAATCAATAATAGGTACTAAGGAATCTGAGATGATACGCTTCATGCTTTTGACCTTTTAAAAAGAAGATAATATAATAAATTGTTGGTTTTTAATACTGACAGCATTTTAAACGTAAGTAGCTTTTTCTAAAGTAACAGTAAAGACCCAGCTGATTGTGCACATAAAAGGTAAAGGTTTTCCGCTGACATTAAGTCTAGTTGTGTCCAACTCGGGGGTGGTGCTCATCTCATTTCTAAGCTGAAGAGCTGGTATTGTCCATAGACACCTCCAAGGTCATGTGGCCAGAATGACTGCCTGGAGTGCTGTTACCTTCCCGCCGAAGGTACTGCTGATCTACTCACATTTGCATGCTTAACCCGAAGTTGCCTCTATTGCAAACCCCTCCTTTCACCTACAGCAGTGGTTCTCAACCTTCCTAATGCTGTGACCCCTCAATAGAGTTCCTCATGTTGTGGTGACCCCCAACCATACAATTATTTTTGTTGCTACTTCTTAATTGTAATTTTGCTACTGTTATGATTTGTAATATCAATATCCGGTATACAATATGTATTTTCATTCACTGGACCAAATTTGGCACAAATACCCGATACACCCAAATTTGAATACTGGTGGAATGGGGGGAAATGTTTGTCATTTGGGAATTGTAGTTGCTAGGATTTATAGTTCACCTATAATAAAAGAGCATTCTGGACTCCACCAACGATAAATTGAATCAAACTTGACAACAGAACCCCCATGACTAAGAGAAAACACTAGAAGGGTTTGTTGGGCATTGACCTTGAGTTTTGGAGTTGTCGTTCACCTACATCCAGAGAGCACTGTAGGCTAAAACAATGATGGATCTGGACCAAACTTGGCACGTATCAATATGCCCAAATGTGAACACTGGTGGAGTTTGGGGAAAATAGACCTTGACATTTGGGAGTTGTAGTTGCTGGGATTTATAGCTCACTTACAATCAAAGAGCATTCTGAACCCCACCAATGATAGAATTTGGCCAAACTTTCCACACAGAACCCCTATGACCAACAGAAAATACTGTGTTTTTTGATGGTCTTTGGTGACCCCTCTGAAACCCCCTCGCAACCCCCCCCCCTCGGTTGAGAAACACCCCCAGGTTGAGAAACACTGGCCTACAGGAAAGCCTGCAATATCCCACAGCCCATCGAATGCCCTGCCCTTCACCTTTGTTGTGATCAGCCTGAGTTTTAGTAACTAATGGCACTTTTTCCACCTATCGTATGCATTTTATATGTTTATTTATGTAAACTGCCTGATGGAAGGAACAAAAAACTCAGTACAATTGCTAATCCCATTGAATCAATTGGGTTTACCATTTAGCAGTTGATTCGGTGTATATGTTTGGAACTAGCAATTGGATTTAGACTTGGATAGATTTTTAAATAGCATTTATTTAGACTGGCTGCTTGTGAGCCTTGTTTTGATTATCCTAATGATAAAATCCTGGTTTTAAAACATCTCATTCAACTTTGAACAAATGTTAATTATGTTCTCACATTTGATATGCTTGAATCGTTGGAAATACGTTTTTAAAAATATTCTCAGTCTTGTTTCTTGCATATACTATCCTAAGTTCAATGGTACATAAGGACAGGGTAGACTGAATGACTAGCAGATTTTTTTCTGCTAGTGAAAGGGCACCCCTTTATAAATGACTTAATTTTTTCAAGCTGTAAAAAGGAAAATCTGGTAAACTAATTTTCATTTGTTCTTTTTGTGTGTGTTTAATTAGCCACCTCCTGCAAGTTTGGAGTTCAACAAAAGTTCTATTGCTTTGAGTGGACAATGATTAGAGACACAATGAAGGCCTGGAGTGACAGTCAGTCAGACCTTTACAGCAGTGACTTAGAAGAGGAGGAAGAAATGATTTTTGGAGAAAATGAGGAAGATTTGGAAGAGATGATGGATTTAAGCGACCTCCCTACCTCTCTCTTTGCTTGTAGTGTTCACGAAGCAGTGTTTGAAGTTCAAGAGCAAAAGGTATGGGAAAAATCCAGAAAAATGTAAATTTAACCAAAATGTGCTATTTTGTAAGATGTCACAATACTTTGTGTTCAAATTTGCAGGATACCTTTAGGCGGTTTTTAAAAAAAATGCATTTATTTTTGCAAAAGTACAGACAATATAACCACAATACGTCATATAGGTAAAGATCTTCCCTTGACATTAAGTCCAGTCGTGTCCAACTTTGGAGTTGGTGCTCATCTCCATTTCTAAGCCGAAGAGCTTGCATTGTCCGTAGACACCTCCAAGGTCACGTGGCTCGCATGACTTCATGGAGCGCCATCATATGAAGCACCATCATATGCCAGGGCGTGGCCATGGAGAATGGAAAGCGACTTCGATAGATTTTACTGTGCTAGTATGTAGGATAGAAGAGCCCAAAGCATTGGTTTACACATGGCTGTATAGTGGGATTTGAATACTTTCCAAGCTAGAGTCCATTGTATTGTCTTTGAAATAGAGTTGAGAGAGGATTCTTGTAGCATAAAGCAATAATAGCAGAACTGGAAGAGATGAAGTGAAAGATTGAATACTTATTTATTTTTATTTTGTTGTATATAATGGTAATATAGGCCCCCTGGTGGCACAGCGGGTTAAACTGCTGAGCTGCTGAACTTGCTGACCGACAGGTTGGCGGTTCATGTGCGGGAAGTAGGATTAACTTCTGCTGATAGGCCCAGCTTCTGCCAACCTAGCAGTTCAAAAACATGCAAATGTGAGTAGATCAATAGGTATCACTCTGGCGGGAAGACAATGGCGGTCCATGCAGTCATGCTGGCCACATGACCTTGGAGGTGTCTGTGGACAGTGCCAGCTCTTCTTCTTAGAAATGGAGATGAGCACCAACACCCAGAGTCGGACATAACTAGATTTAATGTGAGGGAAACCTTTACCTATATAATGGTAATTCATGTGGAGCATTTGAGGTTGAATAGGATAAAAATCCAAACAGATTTATAGCACCAGTAGTTTTGAATCTGGATTTTGCAGACACTACATGTGTGTGGAAGTGAATTACCATATTAAAGCCACACCGCTATAATCTGAAACTAGTATTGCTTTTATCTTATTTCAGACAATTGATTTCCTTGTGTTGAGGTTGTTTTAATTTTCGAACTTGAGGCACAGATATTCTATTTACAGATAGATGATGTTGCCAACCTGACTGCTTGTTTCCATTCTTTTCAAAATTAGTCATTTCATGAGATTTCCAGCTTGCTTGTATATTAGTGATTCATACTGAGCTCACTTGCTTTCTAGTCAAACTATATTGTTGTTTCAAGGACCCATCCAGGGAATGTTGAGCTGTAAAAATAACCTCGCATGATTATTTTCGTCTTGTTTGCTATAATCCTTTTTATTCATCTCATTAACTGCCTGATATGTTATCCCATAAGCCTGATCATTTAGCTGGTTCTGCATGTTCATTTCCCAGTGTTCTGAAAAACATGGTGATTTAACAAAACTGATTCATCCACCTCACAAGGTCATTTTGAGGAACAGTAATTGGAGATGATGTAGTGCAACAACTACACTGCATAGCTTTCTTTTATTGCAAACTGTTCTTTCAATTTACAGTTTTCAGCGCCTACACCCTTACCTTGAGAGGGATCCATCTGTATCGGAGAACTAAGGCTGGTGGGGGTTCATAGCAAAAGAAGGCATTTATTTTTGGCAGTGGGTACTCCTACTCATCCACAAATGAGAACTTCTTTGCCTTCATGGTTCCAGCAAGGGCATATTGTAATGTGTGCTGAGATGTTTCCGGCCTCTGAAATACATCAGGGGAAATAGTGGGAAGCAGCTACAGTATTTGTCCACTCTCTAGAAAATGAACTGACAGCATTTTCATATCAGTCTAATATATGAATAATTTTTAAAGCAGCTTATTTAACAGCTCTCGTATATAGGGAAAATTATGTAATCGTTGATGTAATAACATTCCTCTTGCTGCCTGTATGAAGAAGGGTGGCTAGATGAGAATGTATGCTTATTCGGATGGTGTGGTCGGAGCAGTTCTTGGTAGATCCAAGTTTGCTCTTAGTGGAGTCTAAAACAGTTCTGTAACATGCATATTCCAGAGTGGTATGTACGAGGGTTATCTAGAAAGTAACGTTATAAGGCGCGTAGCTCTTGTGGGGAATTTTCTCGAGGGAAGTTGGTATCACTGCTGTGTAGCAGGAAGTTAGCAGAAGTGAATGAGCAGTGTCAGTCGTCAGTAGCTCATCGACTGGCATTGTGGTGAAGGTTAGAGAAAGAGCGTCCTCATTCCATTTCCCTCCAAGTACGAAGTTCGCGCTGTAATACGCTACCTAAATGCTAAGAGCATGAACACTGCTGCGATTAATCACAAAATCCTTTCAGTTTATGGAGAGGATGTGATGTCAAGACAGCATGTGACAAAATGGGCACGGAATATATTGTGAGACCATGAAGAAACTTCGCAGAGCCATCCAAAACAAACGTTGTGGGATGCTGATGGCGGGAGTCTTTTTCCTTCATGACAATGCGTGCCCGCAACCCCGATCTTGCACCCAGTGACTATCATCTGTTCACTTGAAGGAACACCTGGGTGGAAAACACCTTTCCGATGACAAGGAGTTGAAAATCGAAGTGATGAACTGGCTGAAAAAGGCAGAGGGAAGCTTCTATGACACAGGCATCCTAAACTCGTCCCACGGATGACAAAATGTATTGAACTGAATGGTGATTATGTGGAAAAATAATGTAATACCTAGGCTACTATTCATGTAAATGTTATTAAAATATATTCATTCTTTGTCTTTTTCAAAAATCTTGTAATCTTACTTTCCATATAACCCTCGTACATACAATAAAATACATATATTAAAACACACCACTATAGAAACATGCACCAAAACACAGAGTACAAAGATCAACATACCCCAGCAATAGAATGCGAATCTGAAACACACGATTCAAAGTGAGGTGTATATGAAGCATAAATTAATTATGTGTTCATACTTGGGTCCCATCTCTAAGATAATCTCATTATGTTTGTGCAAGTTTTCAAAATATGAAATAATGGAACACTTCTGTTCCCAAGCATTTCAACTAAATAATACTCAATTTGTATTATAAAGAAATTTTTCTATATCTCTGTGCTAGTCACTATTTCTTACAATTTTATTTATGTGTTTCATTTCAGCTCCGAAATATAAAAATATTGAAAATTATTAGAAGAATCAGTCATTGATTATACTGATTAGAAGAATAAAGCTCTTTTAAATGAGAAATTGATTTAAAGACAGCTGTAACTATTTTTAGTTAGTAGAAAACCAAATGTAAATCATTGCTGAAAGAATTTTGAGCGTACCCTTTATATACAGTAGTTTTAGCAGCTATAGGCAGTTTAATGGAAACCATCCTAAATGCCAAACCTTTGACTTGGAAACTGTAGGGACCAAATATATAATATCTGCAGTATTTCCTTGATTGAGGATGCCAAACTGAATAAGGTTGGGGAGATTACTGGGTTATGAGTGTTGGAACCCAGACGCCTTAAAGAGCCAGACTCAGGAATGTGTCCAAAAGAATAGTTTATTAATACAAAGTAAAAGAGACTCAGAGACACTTGCTTCAGTGCCTCTGGTCAAAACTTAAAAGTAGCAGCAATTATTGGCTTGAAAAGTAAACTAAAGCAATAATCCGGATTATCCAGGCAAAAAATCCGGATTAAACTGGAGTACTTTCAAAATCCTGCAAATGCACACAGCAAATGGAAGACAAACAAACAAAGAGCCGTGAAGAAGAGACTTCGTCTAAATGAAGTCCGAAGTCGAAGAAAGCCAAGTCCAAAGTTGCGAGGTTCCAAAGTCCACAAGGCAGTGTCGTCGTCGAAAAGCAATCTGAAGTCAAGGAGAGGGGAAATCCGCACTTACGAGAAGCGGCAAGACCCAAGACGCGAAACCAACACTTTGCCTACTGCAAAGTTCTACCACTCCAGTGCCTACTTTTATCTTACAACTCATCATCCAATGATGAGCTGCCCTCCACCTCGTCATCATCACTTTCAGCTGGTTTAGCTTCTACAGCTGAACACCAACGCCCATCCCTCCAACTCTTCCACCTCTTGTCAAGACTTAGATCTCCCCAAGATTCCACAGTATCACCCGATTGCCAAACCCCTCCACGAGAAAACCCTGCAAACGTGTCACTAGATGTTGGTTGAGTACACACATCCCGAACCTCTTGCACCTTAGTCCAATCCAGTGATTCATCGTCATCCCCATCACTCCCAGACCCATAATTCCCAGAAAAACCCATGAAATCCTCTTCTTCTGTGGGAGCAGTAAGTATATCTCGAATCTTCTTCCTCTGTCGCTCCTCATCCGATTCCTGCTCCCGAGTAACCCTCTTAGTTCCCCTATTCACACCCACTGTTTCTCCTTCCTCCTCCTCACTCATTTCACTCTCAGAAAACCCTTCGAAGGAATCTTCATCAGTGGGTGACATAATCCTCTTCCTCTGTTGAGCCTCAACTAACTCTTGAGCACCCCTCTTCCCACTTCTGACACCCTTACTACTAGTTGCAGTGTTGCAAACAGACTACTACAACAATGAGTCCCCTTGGGGAGATGGGGTGTGATATAAATAGAGATTATTATTATTATTGTTGTTGTTGTTATTATCATCATCAGTACATATGCTCTCTGGGCATGATTCTAGTAAACGAGCAGAAGTATGTTAAAATAATATCTGCATATGCATGGACACCTGTGCCTATCAATAATATGATGACTACCAATATTTTACTACCAGTAAAATATTGGCTAGACAAGGCTGTTGTTATGTGGATTGGTAATTTGGCCAAACGCAAAGCTCCAATGGCTTCTCTTTATCCTGGAGAGAAGGGACTATTGGAGTGCCACATGATTCTGTCCTAGTCCTATTTAACATTTTTGTTGGAGACTTAGATGGCAGAATAGAGGGTATTCTTATCAAATTTGCGGGTG